CAACATTCATAGGGGACAATGAAAGGAAACGGTGGGACGCTTCTCTATCTCCCCTCCCCACCGCAGCGCTCTTTCATCTCTCCTTCCCACAAGGCTGATTCACCACTGGTGACCCCTGCGGCTGCCTCGTTGAAAATAGACAACAAAGTGTCTGAGATGAAAACCAGTGGGCAGTTGTAGGCTAGATTGCTGCTCGGCTTCAAGTTGGTCGGGCAGTGGCGAGCACTCTCGCTGAGCTGACACTTCTATTTGTCTGGATTCTAGTCTGGCACTGCCATGCGCCCACATCTACGAGCATTAACAAGCACAACCCTGACAGATCTTTTCTTTATGGAAGATTTAAAATGCCTTTATTAAAACAAATCTAACTAATTAATGTGAAACACAATACACAATTGTTGTATGAATTTCCTTTGTATGAATACATTTACTGTGTCATAACTAAACGAAAAACATATATTAAAGAGCAAATATTTTGCTTTTTGTTATAAATAACTGAATGAATAGTTTTTCAAATCAAATCACAACACAGAAAACACTGTTAGCATTAGCATATCCTCCTCCAATATACCTACGAATTTATAAAGATGTGGATATGGCGCGGCCACTCAGCCTTGCTGCCAGTTTGTCTCAGTGGAATAGCCCCCTGTGCAGTGGGCCTCACAACCCAGTAGCATAACTCCTAAAAACTTTTTTGGCTTCTGGGCTTGGAAAGCAATTTTCCCTCAAGTGAATGAGCGCCATCTTGGAGTCCGGTATCCAGTTGTTGGACATTGTGTTTTCATCTCAAGAAAGAACAAGTTCCCCTTGCACCTCGCCATGAAAACTGATGACATGCTTCGTGTTTAGAATTGGCGGGCCTATGCTGCTGTCTGCTGGACTGAATTTTTGTGTTGTGATTTCATTGTAATGTCACAATGAAAAACAATTTACAATTAAGTTCCTAAAATGCTAAATGATGTCCCTTTGACATGTGTTTTTCATTTAATTATGACACAATAGATGCATGAGAAGAAAATAATTATCTTCTCTTCACTTAGTTTCTCTTGTTTGTCTTTATTTAGGTATTTTAACGTTTCTCTCTGCACCCCTGCTCTTAAGCTGCATCTCCTTTAACTGTTTTGAAAAGATAAAAGTCACTGTATTTGATTTAGAAATTGCATGTGAACGCACACAGACAAAAAAACTGCTGTATCAAAGGTCTCTCTTTACCTTTTGATCATCCGATTCTCTAAAATATCTCAGGATGCTTATCTGGGAGCAGAAATACAGTAAGCATAACTGTACACAGCATTTCAGTATGCAGAGTGGTCTAAATCCATCTTGTCCTCTGCAGGGGAAGATAAGAACCTCCTTCATGAATAAAGATGCATCGGCATCCTCTCCTCTCCTGTGTTCAATGTGTACTTGTTACAGCGGCCATTATTTATAGTCCCACTAAGGCCCAGAGTGGTGAGAGTGGGTCTCATGGGGAATTGGGAAGTGGAGCCACTGCTACCTATAGTGGGAAAGATATACCACCTCACCCCCGCTGAGAACTTCGTGCAGGAAATGAGCTCATAAATCAAGCAGTAAATTGAGTGTAGGGCTGCGCTTACTCATCTCAAGAGGTCCGCTCCTCTTCCTCCACACACCCCTGCTCCTTTTTACTGCATGACTAATGCAACGCTGCAACTTCTCTGCCTGCGTGTGTCGTCTCTCACTCTGGTAAACTCTTATCAAAAAAGTGTGGATTTTATTTTCAAGTAAACATCATAACTCTGGCCTGGAGGCTACAGTGAGTGTGTCTCGGAAGGGAGGGAAGCTGCGCGGGGAAAAAGTGAGCCTAGCTGGCATTTGGGTCCAGAAACAAGCACATCAGCATCTTGTCCTACAGCTGAACTTCACCGCCTCATTGTGATGCCACTGGTGAGAGCTGAGTGTCTTTACCCGGAAACAGCCTGTGAGGAGAGTTTCTCCTGCCCGCCTCAGGCTATCCTGACAGTCACAGGCCCTGTCCGGAGGAATTAAAATCTCTATTTATCAGGACTCGACTGAAGCTGTCTGGGGAGTGACCGGGGAAATGGCACATAGTCGGCCTCTTCCAGCAGTGGGACTCTGATGGAGAGTTCAACACGCTGGGATGTGTCCATGTAGGTTGTTTCTTGACAGCATGTGTGATGTAAGAAAAAAATCCACTCTCATCCCAGCTTCACACTTTGTCTCACTTTGTTTAAGTGCTGTGCCAGCGCTTGCAATGTCCTGAATGTGAATCGTTCTTTGATCGTGAGCTTAAAAGAAACATCCAAAGAACCAATTTAAGACTGGTCCCTGAATACAAGCAGTGTATGTGCATGTATATGTGTGTGCGTATGTGTGGAGCCACCCTGCTGAGCGTAGCTTCCCATTAAAGCAGGGACCTTGTCGCCTCCTGCAGCTGCTCTCCATCACAGCAGCAGTAGGCAGCATTTCCTCTGACAGGCAGGGAAAGCTACAGCGCCTGCAGAGCTGAGATCAGATCTCTACTGACCTCCACTGGTGAAATTATGTACATGCTAGGGTGGCTACCGCAGTCATAGAAATCCCCTGAATCAATCAATCAAGTTTTTTTTTATCACATGTAATCATAAAGGGTACAATCACAGTGAAATGTAATCCGGCCAGTTCCTTCAATGTGTGCATTAAAAAGAGTCACAGCCTGTGGCTACAGAACTTAAGGTGTTAAAAAGGTTGGTTCAAAACAAAATCACACAAAACCAAATGTTGACCTTTAACCTCTAAATTCTTAATGAATTTAACAATATCTTTTTAGAAAACGTGTTCTTCTTCTTCTAGATGGCTCACACAATGTTTGTTTGTTTACTCCAGTACTGTACTTCAGGACAATGTAAAGGTACTTGTACTTTCCATTTTCTGCCCCTTTATACTTCTAGATAACTGCATTTCATTTGGAAATATTGTACTTTTTACTCCACTACATTTATCTGACAGATGTAGTTACTTTTCAGATCGATATTATTTAGGAAGAGCTTACGAAATAGGCTTACAATGCAGTGGTCCCCAACCTTTTTGGCTTCTGACCCCTTACAAAAAAAGTCTGGTTGGAGTGCAAAATCAAACTCTACGTTATTAAATGATACAAAACTGAGAAAGCGGAGAAAGTAACATCAACAGGTGTTGTGCATGCCAGCCAAGAATTGCATGCACCTCTAAGTAGGTAGCTACTGTTTAAAAACGATATATTATTCTTTGTGTGGTGCATCAATGGTAATAAATGACTCTGAGTGGGCCTATAGCCTGTATTTGTGGACGTTTAGAGTCATTAATATTTAATTACACTTAGTAGAAGTAGCATTCCCTGAGTTTCAACAAAAAAAGGCCTATTTGTGATAACCGCACGTGATCAATGTGCACAGCAAAGTGTCTAAAAGGACCTTAAGAGGTGGATGCATTCATTGTTCTGCAGAACAGGTGTTGTAAGCTACCTGCCGAAATGTGCATCCGCCTCTTTTCTCAGCATATATGAGTGTTACCTCCCGCGAGGTGCATGCAATTCTCGGCGGACATGCAGAAATGAGCAAAATACATGTCCAATTTCAAAACAGCAGGAGGGTTTTGGGCCCCAGTTTGTGAAGGGGTTGATGATTCAATGCTAATTTTTAAACACAAGGGGGAGCCGTTTCACAAGACTTAGCACTGAAATATGTCGCAAAGTTATTCGAATTCTGCACTTCCCAGCATCCCTCAAGCTGGATTGATGGTTATTTCCGCATTTCAAGCTGCTCTCTGCTACCAAAGTGTTTATGTTTTATTATTAGGTTTCTGTCATCTGAAGTGTGGAACGCTTACAACTCCCCCATTCCCTTTTTCCAGACTCCCCATTTCAGAGCTCATCGGTCTGCTTCTCCCTTCCCCCCTTCTCACTGCGAGCTGCGTCTGCTGGCCACAATAACACCGGAAATAAGGAGCTCTGCCCTCAAAGTAGAGGTTTGACTCGACCCTGGAAATACTCTGCTTAGTCTAGTCATGGATTGACAATGACTTTTCTTCCTATTCCTATTTTGAGCACAGCTGTTAATTGGACTGAGCCCTAACACAGTTCGGTCTTTTAAATAGCAATCTACTAGTTACTTTACAAATTAAGATTTTTACAAACAAAACTTTAATAAATTAATAAATGTTTTTGATTTAGATTTTGCGTTATTTTGTATGTTTTATTTAAAATTATGATATAATTTGTGCTTGAATAATTTTGTGGAAACGGTATATTGCTGTTTAAGAACTGAGCAAATAATTGAGTTACAACAACCCGTTGTCTCTGAAGAATTTGTTAATAAAAGAGAATGACACAGAAGTATTAAAACAGAAAATCAGCTGGTCCAGAGACCTGACCCAAAGCAAAGGGATGCTTAATAGGGGAACAGAGATCCTCTCCCTGCCTTGAATGAACATTCAAGGAGAGGAATGTCAAGAGAGTAAAACAATAAACCAATGTCTTGAGCTCTGATCTAAACCCTACATATGTGGACAGACTAATATAAAGAGTATAATTAAGGATAAAAGCAATATACTGTGTGTGTATATAGACATGCATAAAATATTAGATATAAGGAAAAACAATTTTCTGCCATTACAAATAACTTTATGTGTATTCGTACCAATTGCTTTTAGTAAATGATTTTAAAACATATACTAGGACCTGTATTAAATTCAGTTGAATCACTTTTTATGCCGTTGATGCATGGAGTGCACTTTACACATTTTAACTTGTTTAAAAGTAAAAATGAACGAATTTGTTTTACTTTAATAATAATTCACGCATGAAAGGGACAAAATAACATTTTCAATAGAGGAATTTTACTTGTAACAGAGTATTTTTTTTACAGTGTGGTATTAGTATGTAAGTAAAGGATCTGAATACTTTAATGTTCTCTGCTGAAATGTACTTAATGGTTTATGTCTTATTAAAGTTACCCTCGTTAACGTTTTACTTTGAAGGTAGCTACCGGAAGTGCGGTGTTTTATTGTCGCCAGCTTCATGGCGGTTTTCCTTCTGAGCAGAGTTTCAGGAATGTGGAGACCAGCAGCCTCAGATCGCCTGGGGTGCCGTCGTTTGAAAACTTTTTCAAAGGCTATGAATTATTAACACAAACCCTCCGGTAAGTGGTTTTATGGAGTCCTGTGCAACATATATATACCTCAGAATTTCATAGGCAGAATAGTTGGTGATGTATTAGTACTGTATTACTTTTTTTTTTTAAGTTTTGCTCCACACGTTGGATAAAAAAAATGTCCGTTAGCGAATGTTAGCCGTGCAGGAGGAGGTTTGAACCGACGTGAGCCGGAGACAGAGAGAAAAGCTACATGAAGTGTCTTGTTTTTCTAAGTAGGAGGGCGTCTTAAACTGTGCTCCGACAAGTCCAAGCATGTGTGCCATTGTTTAGGTTGACGTCCAGCAAAGGGGATAACGTTAAACCCGCCTGCCCCATCGTGAAGTGACTGTTTGGGAAACGAGATGCCAGGAGATTAGCGGTATTTGCTGTTAGCAGGGAAACCATTTGCGCTAAACTCTTTAACTGTTAGGTTGCATTTAATTTGGTTTTAGACATTGCTTAAGTCGAGTGTGAGGGGAGGATTTGTTTCCCACAGGACGGAGCTTGTTTTGCACCCTCTGTGGGGAAACATTTGCTGATTGCTCTGCGGTGTTTTGATAACATTTCTCTCCCCCTCCCACCCCAGGGACGCTCGTCTCTGTCTTCATGGTAACGCGGCGGACGCCCAGCCTCGCTGTTGTGGTGTTGCGCTGCCTGTGAAGAGAAAGGGGGGCGGAACCGGAGAGGAACGACGTTTCTCCGGTTTCTTTCTCTCCCAGTTAAAGGCAGAATCAGTCGAAGATGGTAAGGAGAGCACGGCTGCATCAGGACAGACATCGTAGGTAGATGGAGGCTGAATCGGCATTAATAGTGGAGGAATCTGTGCTCTGCTGTTGTACCTCAAAGCAGATGCTGTCTATTTCTTTTTTATTCCACCCCTCTTCCTGTGATTGTGTGGTGCATATAGGGCATTTGATGCTAATGTGAATTGTTTAGGTTTTAAATGAGGGGGTAAAATCTCTCTGTGGTCTTTGCCTTGCAGCCATTTCACGACGGAGCCTACTACCCTTTCACCAGTGACACCCAGGGGACCCACTCATCAGCAGGGATCCCGTCCCTCCTGAATTCCCCCCTCAGCCAGCACTCTGTGAACGGCCACTGTGTGCCTGCGCCAGCCATGACTCCATCTAGCGGCGCCTCCACCGTCCTTCCTTTCAAGTTCCGCCCGCGCAGGGAGAGCGTGGACTGGCGGCGCATCAACGCCGTGGACATAGACCTGGTGGTGAGCCAGCTGGATGTGGACGCCCTTCAGGAGCACATCAGCACGGTGACCTTCTGCAGCTTGGACGGGGAGCGTTGCCAGCGGTGCCAGAACCCCGTGGACCCGGCTCTGGTCAAGCTCCTGCAGCTGGCCCAGCTCACCGTGGAGTGGCTCCTCCACTGCCAGGAGTTCCTCACACTCAACCTGCGAGCGGCGGAGGAGAGGCTAGCGGCCGCCAGCAGGGAGCGCGAGCAGCTGCTGGCCCAGCAGAAGAAGCAGGAGGAGAAGGTGCAGACGTTAACCGCCGAGCTCAAGCAGAGGAAGAAGGTTATTCGCACCCAGCAGACCCTGCTCACGCCTCGAATCATCAGCAGCCATAAGGTACCGCTGACACGCTAAACGCTCCCTCCTTGGGGTGTATCGGTTACCATTTGCGTTTTACATGTGTGTGTGCGTGGCAAGCAGACATCCAGATCCAACACCCCCACCCTCTTTGCTCCTCCTCCCCAGGGCCCCCTTCTCTGTCATTGTTCACAAGATCTATTCACATCTCAGGCTTTGTGCATTTCACATCAGGGTTAGGAGGGGATAAAAAGGGAAACGCTTATTTCAGAGTCTGAATAAATTTTGGGTTTGAAAACGTTTGTTATGTGCTGTGAAACCTGCCACTGCCCTGCGTTGTTTTGGCATGTTTATAATAAGCTTTGTTTTCAGACGGTAAGAAAAGGATTTAGAGCTGCAGAACAGATGGTGTCATTTGGTGGCAATTAGTTTTTTTTAATCCACTTACAAAAGGGTGTCAGGCAGTAATCAAGAGGACTGGCTGACTCCCACCTCCCCCACCCTCATATATATATATATATATACATATATCCTCATAGAAAATTTAGTCCTTTTCAGTGTTGTTGAAGACATTTGTATGTATTTTAGTTTATCTGCTGGATCCATTGGCCTGTAAAAAAGGTATTGTACCTCACTACTATTGTGTTATTTATAGCACTAATCAAAAATCTCCTTCTGTTCTTCAAGTGCGCGGCTACAGCTGACCAAGAGGTTGCCAAAGAGACCGATATAGTGTGTCATGGCAGCATGTGGTTGCTAGGTGTGCGCTAAGACCTCAGCTAACAGAGTTGGTTCAATTATTGATAGAGAGAGAGAGAGAGGCCATGCGCTTGTGTTCTCTGAGGACCTTTGGCATTTGTTGTTGTTAGAGGTAATGTCCATATTACTGCTGAATAAACACACAGCGCTCTCTTTGAAGAGTGATTTAATTTCACTCCCAATTTCCACAGTTATTCCTAATGTAATCACTCACAGACCAGCTCGTTGTAGCCGCCTTTGAATCTTTGCTGCCATATGGTGTGACGAGATATCAGTAGCAGCAGCTTTAACAATGAATGAAGTCACAGGCACAATGAGTGGCGGAGTTAAATGTAGCATGTGATGTGTGTGTGTGTGTGTGTGTGTGTTTGTAGAGCAGAGGCAGCATATATTGTAATTGTTAAGTGTTAGTGAGCTGGAGTGTGGCGACGCCTGCCGCTGGGAACAAATCAACATCACTCACACTATCTGTCTGTTTGGAAACACATGCCTGAATGCAGCGGATGTTCCTGTTTGGAGCTTTAATCATCTTTATGTTGACTTATGTCAAAACCTCCTTCGCCCCTTCATTACTCCTTATGTTAGACATTCAGTGGTAAGCACTCTCAAAAAGTATTGTTTTATAGAGTCTAATTTCTATAATGGGTTACAAATAATCAGGCTTTTCACCTTCCATTGTTTTGCTTTTTTGATTTCCCGAGTCTCACCAGTGAAACCTGATCGTATTTATCACACGATATTTAGCAAATACTGTGAAATAAATTATAGAGCTGAAACAATTTATCGATTAGTCTAGTGGGAAAAACATCGATTTTACAAAACACAGTCAAATGAAGAAAACGTTTTTACCATTTTGAGGGTGCGACATAGGTTCGACGCAGAAGTGTAAATTGGCCTTAAGAGTGAAATGTACAAAATATATAGCAATAATAATAAATATATAGAAAATGCGGTCTGATGCCAACATGTAGACCAACATCTTACTGATACTTCAGGTCATCTAAACTGAGCTTTTAGTTTTACATATATTAACACCTGTCTTTGTTTGTTTCTTTTAGTGCCCACAGTGTGATAAATCCTTCCTCAATTCCTCCTTTCTCCAGAATCACCTGCAGCGCCGCCACCCTGACGAGTATGAGATCCGTAAGTCTGCTGGTCATAAAGGTTTGCTGAGCAGTTCAAAGAGGGACAGAGAGAGAGCATCATAATACATGAGCTGAAGGCAGGAGTCAGATACGTTACTTACTAGGAAGACCAGTTAAACAGTTAAAGGATGGAGCCTAGTGAAGATGTATTTGTGGGTGAAATATGAAACATTCCCTCACATTGTATTGTTACATTAAATATCTTGTTTTTTGTACTTCCTTCCAGAATTGCGGTCAGACAATGAGAAGAGATCTCAGATTGAAAGCCTCAAATTGGAGATCAGCAGTCTGAAGGAGCAGATTGTTCAGCAGCAGCACGCCTTGCAAGTCAAAACAGCTCAGGTAGGAAAACCATACCGGCTTCGACTGCAGATAATTGTGAGAATGTTCTCTGTCTTGGGGGTTTGGGCTGTTGGTTGTGCAAAACTGTAAGAAAACTAGTCTTATTTAGTGATGGGCACCGAAACGCATATTAATAAACAGGCTACAGACTGTAGTGTTATTATCAGGCTGTCCTGCTCCTCCACTCAGACACAGCAGCCAGCAGAGCAGAGAGGCCCGGTGGGGATAGTGAAGTGAAGGTAACTTCAATATTACTCGAGTAGATGACAACAATATTCATTACTGTAAATACGTGCAATAAAACCTTTGCGAGTAAAAAGCCAATACTTAATCAATACACCTGTTCAAAAAGCAACAACATGTAAACCCATAGTAGGGCTGACCCCAAATAGTTTAAGATTTGATGCTTCGATGGGCGGGGCCTGATTCGATTGTCAATCTCACAGTAAAACAAGGATCATGCCAGTTTGGTGATTTGGGGGTGCTCAACGTCTGATTTTACATAGAACTACCAGTTTTCTCCCAGTAAGTTAATACACTGCCTATTACAATATACATTTCAATGTTTAATGCTGTAAATCAACATTTAAAAAGAATAAAACTTTCAATAAATGTTTAAAAGTACGTAAATAAATCCAAAATTGTAACCCTAACCCTGGGGCGTCAGTGCGTAGGCGTAGCGTGTATGTTTGTAGTGGCAGAAGACACTTACTAAAGAGACAGAGCCCCAGCTTCAGTGGTGTTGTGCGGAGTTGTCCGCACCTCACGGGACTTTAGGATAATTTATCACCGTTGATGAACCACTAAGAATATTTTTTTTAAATATCCGGCTACTTGAAATAGAGCCGTGAGGAACCGCGACGTGCATGCAGTAGGGGTGGGAATCACCAGAGACCCCACGATACGATATTATCACGATACTTATGACACGATACGATATTATTGCGATTTTAAACATATTACAATTTATTACAATATTTTATCTTTTTCCCAACTATAAATTGTGTCCCCAAAGCAAAACTCTTTTTCTAGTGGGCTGAAAAAGCAATTTTATTAGTGCCAAAAAACAAACTTCTCATGTACAATTTATATATTAAAAGATCGATACTTGACATTCATGTTACGATACGATATTGCCTTGCAAAATATCTTGATACTATGCTGTATCGATTGTTTCCCCCACCCCTAACATGCAGCTGTCGGCAGCACGGAGTGCACGTAAAACTCTGCACAAGAGCGGTGAGTGACAAGTGAGAGAGAGCGAGAAAAGGGTCTTCAAAAAGCCTCAGTTTAGCTGGAAATTTAAGTTGAATCAATAGAGACTGCAGCTCTGCGGCTTCTCAAGATTAAAGCAGAGCTACCCCCACCCCCCCGCTCACATTCCCCAATGCGCAAAAGCACGCCTGATTCAACTATCGGCAGGACTTGACAATTTTGATTCGACTATGTAAATCCTTAGTCGGGGACAGCGCTAACCCATAGAAAGCGATACTTTAATCTGCTCTGTCCACAGTCTGGCATCCTCTCTGTTTTTCACAAGCACAGCACGCTAGTTTGGCAGATAGCAAAATGTTTTAAACAAGCTAAAACAAAAGCTGTCTGTCTGTAGTCTAACTGTTTAGCTTAGTTTGCCACGTACCTTAAACTTGGCACATTGTTGTAAACTTAACTGCTGATTGAGACAAACCAGCCGTTCCTCTCTCTACCAGCGGTAACGTTACCCGCAGGCAGCGAATAACAGCAGGGAGAGGAGAAGGACTGATACAAACTTTCAACAGTTCTTCATTCTTTCTAAATGTCATATTTTGATGTCAGAAATAGCATTTATTTGACATTTTAGATTTGTTTCCACTGAGATATTACCCTAAAAAAACTTTTATTTAAATTTCTACTTTTATGCCAATGCTTTTATGATTTCATAGTGAATGAGCTCTTTGTTGTGATTACAGGAAAAAGAGCAGCAGTCCATGCACAAAGACTTGCTGAGAGAATTGGACCGTTTTAAGGCTGAGGAGATGGCCCGCATGGACAGAAAAATAGAAGACAGCAGGGATGGCATTCGCAGGGAGATGGAATTTCTTTACACCCGAAATATCCAGGCTCTTAATGTACGAAAAGGATACTTTTTTACATTAATTTTCAGTATATCTTTTATTATTTTGTGATGTATTTGTTTTTACTATTTGATACGTATTTTCATTCATAGGAAGCAAATCAGAATCAGACAGCCAAACATGAAAAATCAGCGAGCCCTGTTCAGTCGCAGCCAGAGAGAGATCTGGACAACTACAGAGAGATGCAGATACAAGCCATCCAAAAGCTGGAGCACCAACTGAAGAAACAGGTCAGTGGAAAGAAGACATTTTATTTTAAAACCTTGAAGTGAATGAAGTTATTTTGAGAACAAAAATATTCTCTTCTAGGATAAAAAGTGGGAATCCAGGCTACAGGATATAAAGGCTCAACACGAGTTGGAAAAGAATCAGGTATGTTGTTATTATTATTCATCATAATTATCATGCTGTTAAAGCATCTAAAAGTGAAACATATAACACGCTTTTGTTGAAAAATCGGCCAGCTGGAAAATGCATCCTCTTCCTGTCATCTTCCAGTTGCTGAACGAGCTGAGCAGGATGCAGTCGTCTGTGTCTGAGCACCAGGACCACAGCCGCAGGTTGCAGCAGGACATGGGGAGGAGGCTGCAGGAGAAGGAGCAAACCATCAAGGCTCAGCGGGAGCAGGTTAACACTGATTCTCGCTCGTACTGTTGATGGCCGTGCGCCTGCTGTGATTATGTCGGCAGAGGAAGCGAGGCGGAGGCTCAGCCCTTGTTCAGGATATCCTGTATTTGCCACATGGGCTCAGATTGTGTTATATTGACATATGATACTGTACATTTGACGGGAGTCACCGTGCACAGGAAGCTGACGCTTTTCTTGGAATAAGCTCCACATTTTGTATTGAAGATACGAGATTAAGTTGCTGAACAACTCACAGTATGTTGTTTGACATGGATCTCATATAAAGTTGTATTTCAAGTTGAAATCCTTAAGATTACTTTAAGGTTACCACAGGCCCCAGAAGTCATATCATGAATTCCATGAATGGGGTTTAATTTCATTAAAATCTTTAACCTGCAGTGCAGAGATTTTGTTTCCCCTTCTGGCAGTGAGAGTAATAACACAAACATAGTTACAAAAATACAGAAACATTTCCACAGTTCCAAGACAATGATCTATTAAATGTAATAGCAACATAGCCTACTCATATACCTGTCCGAGAGCAGTAATGAAACATCTGTTTCTGCCTGCCTGTCCATGCAGTCTATGCTGTATAAATACAATTATTTATTTATTTTTATCTCCAGAGCCATGTAGAAGGAGAGGTTTGTCATCTCTGTTCAGTAAAATGTGTTGTTTTTTATTTTCTGCTTACAGATAAGGAATATTTCCTCACATCCACCCACCAAAGTAGTGGAAGTACCAGGTATGTATTCCTTTTCATTTACTTTTTCACTGAAGGAAGTTGCATGTATGTTCCTAATGCATTCATCGTATTCTCTGTTTTTCAGTCATTGTCAGCGCACCAGCTCCGGAGCCTAAACCAAAGAGAGTTGCACTTGGTAAGTTAGCAGAAGTCATCTGAATATTAAAACATTGTCACTCCCAGAGAGGCTGACCATGTGCTTTTGTGCATGAACGATTTACACTTTGTAAACTCTTAATAAATACCACCCCCCCCCCCCCCCCCCGTAACGCATATTTTATGCCTTTGACCTCATTTGCTGTCCAATTAGAGGAGCCAGTCTCTGCTCTTAAGCTGGATCCTATACAGGAGCTGTCAGAAGAGGAGAAAGGTAACACGGACAATAAAACGAACAGAGCCGTTCGACTGCATGCTGTCTGCATGGATGCATCAGTCTGTTGTGTTCAGTCTTTTCCTGAAGTGTGTCGGGACCGAGATAATCTTAGTCCACACTGACTTGAAAGGCATGGCCTTAGTACGAGAAAGCAAGCTCATGGTCTGATATTCTTTGACGCCTACCGTGTCAGCACTGCTGATCACTAAGTCCGTCCGTCATCTTGTTGCCTTGTTTGTGGCAAATGAAGTTGTAGACATTCTCCTCTTCTGCCTGCCCCATTGCAGTCATGTACATCTACCCAGCTAGACCTTTGGCATGGAGCTTGCTGTGAAAATTGGCAAATGCATGCTCATTTTTTAAATCCTTTTTACTTCTGCCGCCTTAAATTGGTGCCTTATTATCCGTAAAGGTCTGATTAAGTGAGATATCTTTTACAGACTCAAGCAGCGGCTCCGAGAGGAAGCCAGTTGAGAAGAAGCCTGAGCCTGTACCAGAGAAGAAACAGAGGGCTACCATCAGTGCTCTGAAGAGGAACACCAGCATCAAGAAAGATATGCGGCTAGAGCTCGAACAGGCTGTTGTTAAGAAGCTGGAGAACCTGGGAATCAAGCATGTAAGTAGGGTTCATGAAGCTTAAGAAGTATTGTACAGCATACAACCTAAAAGAAAATACTCCCTCCTAGGCACTCTTATTTAACACATTTTGTAACCATTGGTTATAATTTTGTCTGCCTCTTCTCAGGATCAGAGTGGTCTCAAGAATAAAGAGTACAGTTCCATCCTGGCCAAGGTGCATTCAAAGCGGGAGAGCGCTGCAAAGGGGATGCCTGAATACTGGCACCATCGGGAGGAGATTGCCAGCAATGTGGAGCAGAAGCTGGGGGGTCAGAGGAGAGGCAGCGACCCTGCTCCTGAGTCACAGGCCAGATCCAGACAATCGGTTCAAGGTGAGTCATCAAAAAGCCTCTTAGCAGAGGAGATAATCTTTTTTTAAGTTCTTACTCACCCACAGACCACTACCCGGTGCTTTAGAGAAATTGAGCCACCTGTTTGTCAGCCACTATTGCATTAGTGGCTTGTAATAGGTTTTGACTCCATTTTCAATCAGCCTAACCTGTGAAAGCTTGTCTGCCGTCACATAAACTGATTAAAGCTCTGACACACTGACTGACTGATCCGCTGACTGCGTTAAAATTACCTGTCTGTATGCAGTGCTGCAGATCAGGCCTCGATCCAGTAGCCTACCCTCCAGAGCGACCCAGGTGATGTCTGGACCTGCAGTCAAACAGCCAAAGACCCCCCAGCCGGCGCCGAGGACCAAGACCGCCGCCCAACCCAAGACATCAACACCCAACACCAAGACCGCTCTGAGGACCTTCACACCAAAGTACAGAAATAACTGAAATGGTTTTCTTGTTAATTAATGTATGATATTAACATGTGTCCTGGTTAATTAAATGGGAGTATGATGTAGTGAGAATACATAACATATGCTAAATATATATAATGTGAATGCAACCAAAACTACCTTCAGAGAATTTGGTAGTGTTGAGAAGCAGCTGCATCTGAGTAAGTTAACACCATACCAGTTAGTAACAACATAGAGTTCAGATAGATCTGAACATTTACAGCTCCCCCGAGTCATTCCTGTCATTCCTTATAACTGGTGTCAAAGTGGAAGGGAGAGTCAAATGATAGAAGAGCCAGAGGATAATTTGTTTTCTAGTAAAAACAAGTGATGACTATGTGGAAGTGCCTTAAACCTGAATTATTTCTAATGGCCAGCAGGGGGCGACTGGTTGCAAAAATAACTGATTGTATACAAGTCAATGGGCAGGTTCACATCTAAAGTTCCTGAATCGAACCAATGTAAGGATAAAAACAACATGCTTTAAATTTCCCCACTGGTCTCACATTCACAAAGGCAAAAACTCAAACGGTCCAGAAACTGTAATCAAAAGCCACGTGGTGGAAATGGAGCACCGTCAGGTTCTTTTTTGTGTTGGTCTGGAATGCATATCAGCAAACCTTAGAGGGCATCTGAAGTATGGTATACAGTATTAAATAATTTTATAATGCAGACATTTTGAGGAAGATGCTCTGGCATCAGACAGTCTTTAACAGATCATACCACAACTTGTTTGCATTTGCCATACAAAGTGGACCAGTGAAGCAAAGTTAGCCCTTGCAAATGGCTAGTAAAGGATAAAAGCTGCTTGTGTTTACAGGCTCCATATATATTTTGTTGAATTAATTAATTAATGCATATATTGCCCTACATGCTACATACATAAAGTTCAATATATCCAAAGGTGCCAACCTATAATCAAGAATAAATATTACTTTATTATAGATATTGTACGCATTCTATAAAAATATTCTGATAAATATGAAATATTATAAAGAACAACAATAATACATTTAATAGAAAAATAATAATAAGTCACTATTTTAAAAAGGAATACTATTTTAAATGACACATTGGTTGCTTCCTGTACCAGAAATGATCCGTTCCAGAGTTCACTTGACAGCTGTCTGACACCACCCCTTCTGGAGAGAGGTTGCTTTGAGTCTGGCTTTCACACCAACCCAAACAAACCGCACTAATGGGGTAAACGCTCCCGAGTTCAGTTCAACCGTACTAAACATGATTGGTGTGAACCCGCCCTATGATAAAATTATGCTACTTGTTCAATTACCTCTGGAAACCCTTTTAAAACAGTAGTCCACTAAGCAACGGGTGATGCCACGGTGGCTAAGTCCACTTCTTTTATATAGTCTATTCTTCTGCCACATCCCTTAACAAATATGACGTTATGCTCAAACGTGCTGGGCTGAAGAGGGAGCAACGTGCTTTTATGCTGCATTTACATAAGATATGAATTTGCTGCTGGCATCAGTTATTTGTAACAGAAACTCATAACTGCTAAGGTGAAACGTCACTCTCTGCGACAATGTTTTGATTGCAGTGGTCGTCTTTATTACCTATGTAGGGACGAGTGAGTGTGAAACTAACTAGTTATTACGTAGCAGTAATTTAGAATAAAACTTGTGTTAAGCTGGTGCAACAGACTGCTGGAGGGTAGAACTTAACTGAATTGTATAGTCATGATAAATGTTTATAGAGAACATATTTTGTTATCTAATGATATGACACAAATTCAGAGATAATACACGTGTTAATAGCAAGTGTAAAGAGTATTGTAGATGGCTTTAAGAAAAACAAAAGGGTTGAATGTTCCATGATTTGTAAAAACTGTCTCTGTTTTGATTTTTGAGGACCCCTCCTTTCAGTTCAGATGAGGAGTCTGAAGAAGAGGAGAGCGATATCGAGGAGGAAAAGCCCCAGAAACACCAGAGGGGCAAATCACCACAGACCAGACTACACCAGGCTACCCCGGTCCAAATCAGAGCAAGCAAAGCCAGTCCAGTCCAGGCCAGGCAGGCTCCAGCCATGCACTCATTCTCCTACAACCCCCAGCAGGGCCGGGGGTCAGCGGGCAGTGTGACCAAGACGGCACTTACAAAGATGGAGAGCGATGAGGAGGAGGAGGACGATGATGAGTGGTCAGAGGTCAGCGAGCTGCAGGAGATTGACCCGAGACAACTCCAGAGTCACAAAGACCAGAACGGCAACGTGGATAAGAGAAACTTTGGTAAAGGTAAGAACCAGCTCACACCATATATAATAATTTGACTATTCATTCAGTCGTAAGGGTACATTTGATAACCGAGAAAATGTAGGTGTGTTCTGATTAGAAAATATACGGAAAGTGGGTTAAACTGTAGATATTAGATTAGATCTTCAAGGTTAGGTTCGTCGCCCATTATGTGACATTATGTTGGATGCTTTCAGGATTCCAGAGGGGAGTTAAAAAGTCTTAAATAAACATTTTAACACTTTTAAGGTCATAAACAGTCTTATTTTGAATCATAATAGGTCTTAAATTTTGAGATAATGTATGAGAAATCAAGTTGAGTTAGCCAGGTTTTCTTCAGGGAAGACTTGAAGTTCTATTATCCCTGTTGGACAATAAACATATTTTTACCAAGCATGAAATATGCCAGGAATCACATGACACAACAAGTTTTCTGAAATGTTATGTTTAAATATGCAAATTAGGCATTATCTAATGTTAACTTTCGGAGCATTTAGGAGAAATCTGCACATGCAGATAGATGAAGTTTGGTAAAATAAACACCTAAATAGCTGTTTATTTAATTTATTTTTTTAATTTTTTTATTTTTTTGTCATGTTTCTTTATCTGCTCTGTAAAGCGACTTTGAGTTTGTGAAAAGCGCTATACAAATTCAATTTATTGTATTGTATTTTGGGCGTCTTCTTTCCACTAGTCTGAAAGAAGAACATGTTACAGAAGCAAATTATTGAGTGCATGAGAAAACAATGTTTTTGCCTGTAGAGTCTCGCCTTAAGCAGATACTAGTTGACTGTGGTTTGTGTCATCGCAGGGTCACACAAAAACGTGACAATATCTGCCGGTTGAAACTAACTGTTGAAAAGAGGTCAGATCAGTTCATCCAGAGGGGGCAAAACAAGCTCACAAGTATGTCAGCGTGTGATCTTTATGTTGAATTTAAACTTTAAAGTTCAAATTGAAAGTTTTTTTTTATAAAAACAAATTGACAGCCAGGCTATTTGTAACTACAAGGTTAACAACACTAAAATCCACAAGTTCACTAGAAGATTTAAAGGCTTGGAGAGAAATCAGAGGCTTTGCAGCCTTTTGTAATGACAACCATACAGGAGGCCAGTATCAGATTCATATGATCTTTGAATATAACAATGACGGCATGTTGAATAATTGGGAAAAGTACTTGTCTATGTTTAAATTAATTGTGTTATTTGGACAGTTAAATGCCAAAAGTTATGTGTGAATGAGGTGCCTTCCTGAAGAATGTATTACCTTTAGTTAAGTCGTTTGTGGTGCACTTCATTCCTGCCAGATGCCGTTACTTTCATCATGGTTGTACTCCATACTTGGTAAACATGGTCTATAAATTCTGATGAATCATCTTTTTTTTTTCTTTTTTTATTTATTTTAGAAATGGAAAGTATATTAATGAAACTACATGAATGTATTTTAGTACTTGTCTTTTTTGTCTTTTTAGAGAACAAAGTCAATGACCTGGCCAGAAAAATGGAGAAGCAGTTTGCAGAGAGAGCGGTGAAGAAACCAGCAGGGGGCATCAGTATATTACCAGAGAGGAAGGACGAGGTTGAGGAACTCACGGTGAGATTCACTCTGCGATGGGACCTCAGTGCATAGCTTTTGTGTACAGCATTTCTGGCTTATTTAATATTTTATTTATCAAAAAACAGTGTTAGTCTCAATATCCTGAGTAAAATCTGAGTAATGTTTCTGCGTGTGATGACAGTACACAGATCTGGAGGAGAGCAGTGACTGGATGGTCTCCTCTTTAGAGGACAGACAGGAAATTTCTAAACCAGCTCAGGGCTCTGCACCAACGAGGAAGAGCCTGGACTCACCCAGCACCAGCGTCTGGGGAACCTCCACAGGAAAGGGTCCCAAATCAGGTATGTTTTGGGTTTGGGTAATGTTAGCTTTCTATTTAGCTAAAACGGTGCCTTTCATTGAAACACGTTCAGCTTTTCATAAAGCCGATGTGCTTGTCAGTGTCACTTTTTGGCAACAGATAAATCACAGCCTGAATGGAGCGGGACTTTAAAAAACATTGTGCTACAGCAAACTTTCCAGATGTTTGTAGTAACATCATATAAATAAAATATCAAATCAACAGTTTACTATTATATTAACAATTTTAATATAATGTTATAATATAAAACTAATACTCATTTTTACTAGCTCCTCCTCCAGGTAGTGGATGGATCCTCTACAGTGGACAGATGTAGATTTAGCCAGAGTCAGGATGCCAGTGTGCCAGTATGTGCTCCTCCTCCTGAGAACAACATATTCACCTTTTTCCATTGTTTTACTAAAGTTATTGTTTTAAAAATTTACACACAACCCTTTTAAAGTCTTAAAATATGTTGAAACGGTATTGAAAAAGGTCTTGAAAGGTATTGAATTTTCCTTCCTGTATATACCCTGAAGACCTCTGGCGCCCTCTACAGAAGCATTCTGAAACCTGTTTGAAAAAGAGTTCAACCTTTATTTCTCAGCCTCTGTAGTAGATAGCTTACTCATTACGCCGTTGTTGCCTTTTCTCTTGTGTTCATTCATATTTTTTATTTAAAAAATCAATAAACAAAGAAAATTGTTATTACTTCCAGATCATTCTGTCCCTTTTATGATGGATGGATGGATGGATGGATGGATACTTTATTTGATGCTTCACAGGAAATTAAATTCGTTACAGTAGCAGCAACCACATTCAGTCCTCACACACAGGCAACATATATATAGTCGATTTGTCAAATAAAAAATTTAAAATAAAATCATAGATAAAATTAAAAAATACAATAAAAGAAGCCCAATCCCAAAGGTTAGTGCACTACAAGGACATTTAGGCATTAGGCATTTTGTGTAAATCTGTCTGAAAAAGCGACTTCTTTTTTTTGCCAATAGCCTCTCCTCACTTGCAGCTGAAGATTATACATAGTGACACACAGCACAAAGAAGGTTTTCATTTCTTTTTTTTTCTCGACGAGCTTCGCTGATGCTTTGTTACGCATTTGAATTTGTGGGCAAACTCGCCGAAATCCTCAAACTGTAATGTCTTTCATCCACTGACCTTTAGTTACCTTGTCAGCAGTCACATCATAATCTGGGTCTGAATTTTCTAATTCATTGTTTTCGTTCTCAAAGTAAATGTCGTTCCCCTTTTTCAGTCATCATCATCTGAAGTGCAGCTTTGTAATATTGCGGTACAAATGTCCAACCAGAGGCTAAAAATATTTTAAAAACCAAATCCCATAATGCATTTTGCCTCCCCCACTGGTATTTCAGTGGATCTGTTACGTCCCACCCTTTGGTGGCAACATGGGACGAACAACACCCCAACACTGACCCAAACTCAACACAAATAAACACCTTTAAAACAACCAAATCAAGGGAATTTATTAACATAACTAGACTATAAATTAAGAACACCAAAAACACAACACAAAAATGCCCCAGCTGGGAGGCAGCAAAGCTAGCAGTCCCAAATCAAGAAGGGTCCCCTCCTGACACTTGCACAGCAGCTTTTAAAGCCCGCCTTCAAAGGCCAGGTGGACCTTATTCAGTAATTAGCTGGAGCACTCCCAGAACAGAACTGAAAGACAGAAAACCTGGACACAGCACAGGGAAATACATACAGCCGTAACAGGATCACAATGCATTTTATCAGTCGTGTGTCTTGAAAAACAATGACATCTACTAAAACAGCCACATGTCGCCTCTGGCCTTAAAGGTAGAAGCACGCAGACGTTGCAGCCGGTCTTAATGGGTTGAATGTACATTGACTTTGTTTTATTTGTTGCACACCACTGTGTGTCTATGTTTTACATACCTGTATTGATTTGTATAGTAAGTGCTATACAAATCAAGCTATAATAATTATTGATATTATTATATTATTATTGTAATGAAAATTATAGCATGATACGCTGGTACATAAATGTGGCGATGATGGTGGTCTCAGCTGAATTGTAGACTTGTCCTAAAACAGCTGTCCTGTGCCCAGCAGGTCTGACTGAAGCTGGAACAGGAAGCACCCTGAAGAGCAGCCTGTGCTCCCTCAGTGACATCAGTGACTCCGAGGACATTAGCAATAAACACAATAGACACTACAGCTGATCAGGTGATGTAGCTCTATGCCAAGCACACGAAGACCTCAGTCAACTCTTCTGACATCTGCAGTCTAAATAGCCACATTTTGTACTGTTATTATAAGGAAGCTATAATACAGAGCAATACTTAGCAAAGGGAGTTAGGATTCTGAAATGGATTATTGTATAGAGATGAATGAGATTACAACTTTTTATTGACTTTTCATTGTCAGCCTCACCTTAATGCCTTGTGCCAATTCTCTTTGCTTGCCTTAGACCCTGTCAGTGTTCAACTTTATACTGATTGTTTTTGTATATTCAATGTAAATAGTCAATATAACCCACACTCCAAATGAGATACTGTGTGTAGTTTGTGTAAAATTTTGTACATCAAATTTTATAATTTTTTCACACGTTAAATGGAGCAATGAGATGTGATATTGTATAGAAAAATATTTATAGAAGAAGCAATAAAAGATTTCTTTGTGGAATACACACTTGGAAATTGTTACATGATGCATTACAGTATAGGCACACGTCATCACGGTGATTTATTTGTCCAACTTAGCACAATAACCAACTGATTTATAACAGTTGTGTCACTTTATCTTCACACTTCCAAGCTTTTGTTTAAGATGATTCACATTTCTAGCCATGCAGGAGTTCATACATTTATCAAGTCAGCTAAAGATCTGCTGACCTTATGTTAACAGTTTAATTGGTGAAACAAAACATGGATCTGTGTTTTTCAGAAGAATAAAGGTTTGTTTGAAAGGCTATATAAAGTTAAGGAATAAATGGCAGCGCAATTTTTATTTGATTGATTTCACTATTAGAAATGACATGTAACAACCACAGACTCACCGTATGTGAGCATATCAAGTAAAATCGCTGTACATACATAACAATGCTTAAATAAATGGTGCAGGTTTTGTAACGAACGACAGAATTTACTCTAATTTGTTGGTCCTGCCCTGCAGTGGCACTGCTCGGGAAGTGTGGAACGTGATTATCACCGTGATTGGAAATATTAATTGTAAATTATTTCAATTGTTTGTCTACCACCTACAAGTGTGACTGTCACTGGTCATGCTGTAGGACAGCAGACGTACAATCCTCACTGTCAGTGCTCCATTCTCACTGGCTAACTCTGCCATGACACTGATTCATAATATGAGCAACTTGGTTTTATGTGGAGCGACAGCTGTGACCGCTTCTCATTCTGACAGGGTCTGGTCTCCTTGAATATTTCTGGCTGTTGTGCAGGGAGCTGACAGGCTGTAATAGGAGGGCTGTCAGCGTTCACGGGGTGCTGCCTTAGAAAAAAATTCTTTCTATTTTAAATTTATTTTTAAATCTACAGGGACACCTGAGCATGTCTAATCAGTTGAGTCCTAATTCCCACCTAACCACCTTTGACAGTCTAGACAAATTAACCTACACTAATTCTTCTTCTGATACACTGAAGAACAACACAGAAACACAGAAAATTAAAAGAAAACGAGGGATGGACCAGTTCCTGAAGGAAGCTTGAGAGGGAGGCTGAATTCATTTTGTTTGTCACGAAATATACTAATGTTTCTGAAGTCATTCTTTAAAACAATTTAACAAAAAAACACCCTAAAAGCCAAAAATAATGTTCAAATGCTGGCACATAATGGAGCAACACTATCTAAACCAACTTGGTTCAGCCATCCACATGTGTTAAAAATAAATAAGTACATTTTATTTACTCCGTGAGGTAGGGGGTAATTTTGACCATTATGGAAAATGATCCCGTATTCTCAGCAAAACAAAATTCTTATTTTGAGATAATGACATAAATAACTCCAGATCTCGAGAAAACAAATTAAATTACCTTCTTATTGCGGGAAAAAGGAGTAAATAAAATGTATGGCTGCTTAGGGCTTCCATAAAAAAAAAACAATAACGGCACAGACTTACTGCAGGATCTGCAAAGACGAGATCTGGAGCACATGGTTATAGTGATAGGTTAACAATGTGAGTCGTTCAGTTGCTGCACATTATTAAAAACTCTCACTAAAACCCACATGCTTCACATCTCATCTTCCCAGAGACGTATTGTTTTGCACACAGATGTTTATAGATACAGTGTTAACGGTCAGGTTTTTATCCATCTGAACACATTACCGCGTTTCGCTTTAGTCACACAAATCATATTTCCAGCCATGCATAATCTCATCAAAACAATAGTTAAGTCATAGTTTCTTGCTGAGAGTTGGTTGAGAAAGATACCACTGTGGTGTGGAGAGCGAATTAGTGTGTTTCCCAAAATGTCAAACTAACTTTAAAGTCTTTTAGGTCACTTTCTCAGATTCGGGTTCCCCTCTGGCTCAGACAAAGCTGTCCCTGCTGAAGGTCTCCAGTGTCGCTCTGGTTGCTCGGCTCTTCCTGCCATCATAAAACAGCGACGGCACCAGAGTCACTCTGGATGACGGGGCGGGCGGCATGTAGCCCCGTCTGTTCCAGGCGGTGGCCTGAGTGGCCTGGCTCTGTGGCCTTTTTGGAGGTGTGCCGACAGAGCTGAAACAGGAGATACGTGGTGAAGTTATCTCAACTTTTCTACTCCATGTGGTTACTGATAGTTGCCCATGATATGTTCCAAAATACAGGTAGTAACGGTCAGAAGTACAGGTTATACTGTTTAAGTGAAATAAACTGTAGGAAGTTTTATATTTACCTTGATGTTAGGCCTTCTCTTCCAGAGAAGTAAGCCAGCACTGTCCCTCCAGAGAGGAGAAGGATGGAGCCCCCCCAGCCAATGAAAACTGCAGCTCCAAGCTCATATCTGAACGGCAAATATCGAGGTATATCGAGTTTTTTCACACTGATTTATTCCTATTTTTACATATTGCTGACAGGGAAACTAATGATCACACTGCTTCAAAAGTACTCACTTCTGTGCCACGAATTGTGGGTCCAGGAATTCTGTTATGACTCTGTTGGCCCACCACGAGTAGGTGATCATACCACAGAACCCTAACAGAAAATATAGACCTTACTTTAAACATCCTGAGTGCAGGGCATTCGCACACGTTTAATAATATTGAAAAACAACTAAAAATATTGTTTTACCTGATACCAGGTAGGTTATACTACCTGCAAAGGTCACCCTGGCATTGGCAAGTTCTGATCCACCTATTTTAGTGCATTTCATCCCTATGAGTGTGAGGACACCTCCGAAGAAGCCGGTGATAACGGCGCAGATAGCAAGGGCTCTGCAAGCGTGCAGGAACACTGAAAGGAAAGAGCTTAAAAGTTATTTAAATACATAACAAAATGTTAAATGTACCATTAGGGCATTTGAAGTGCTTAACCTAAAGATACTTCTATTCATTAGTGCCTCTGACTGTGTCGTGTTATCTAAATAGGCAGTTTTTGTTACTGCAAAACCATTAACTGGAGAAAATTAAGGGACTGTATTAAAATGATTAGATGAAGAGAAGGGGACAGAGTTAGGGGAAAATTTTATAGAGAGGGTTGTCAGATTTGTTTGGGGGGGGGTGTAGAGCTGTGGAAGATCTTTGAACTTTTTCTCATTACAGATTCATTCTTCCTTTCAGGATTTATTGTTAAAATGCAAAGGAACATAAATATATAAGTATTGGGACAGAGCCTATTGTTTTTTTTTCCTAAATGAAGGGGAGAGTCTATAGAAAAATTGTTAATGTTGGGGGGTATATATACTATTCAGCCCCCCTCCTCCCTGCAATTTTTGTACAGTCCCCAGATGTTCTCGTCTGTTGAGATTTGAGTTTAAAGTTTAATAAAAAATAATTTAGAGGATCCTACCAGACAAGGCCAGCAAGGAAGGAAAAACCTTGCAGTCGGACACCCCCGATCTGTCTGAGACGCAGTCCTTCCACAGGTTGGAGTAGTGCTTGGCGGTTGTCAACACAGTGGTGCTTGACTGTGAGTAAGTCCAGTAGTCTGTGGGCAGAGTGGAACACACCAGGATCCAGCCGCTCAGGCAGGATACGAAGCAGCCGATCTCTATGTACATCACCGCCGTCCTGCCCTTCATGCTGACTGCTGTCCTTCAAGCAAAAGCTAGCAGAGGTGAAAAACTTAAATGCAAAGAGTAAAGTCCAGGTTTGAACAACTTCTCACTGTGGGAGACTGGACTGAGCTCTCCTTCGATGCCATTGCTGATGTGGATGTTTGGCTTCTAGCTCACCTTATCTTTTAGACAGGTATGCCTAGTTAGCATCTTTCACGTTCCCAGCACTCAGGCAATAAAGGTGAAGGATTTCAACTTGCTGTATCATGCAGCAATTTTTACCCTTATGTTTTTGTTGTATTTTCTCATTATTGCAAAGTCAACCATTTTTTTCTATTTTTCTGACTTACTTAAAACCCAAACAGTGGGAAAGTATTAAAGTGGTAATCCATTGCTTAGACACACACTGGTGACTAAATACAGAAATTACCATAAAGCATAGCGATTACATTAAAGGCATGAACAAATTCAAATAGACTTGTACTGCATAAAAGTAGTCAACACCAATCACGGATACAGAGAAATAAATATATTAAAAATATATTGTGTTTAATCCTAACAGAAGACACTTTCTATTGTGTGTGTGTGTATATAAAATTCACAAAGTTTTAAGCTGAGAAAACAATATTTCATCTCTTGAGCTGTTAAAGAGGGTCCTGGGTCTCGAGAATCCCAAACAGAACATTAGGATTAAACTCACAAACAAGCACACCATGTCATTTTTCAAAAACATGTTCTCTTTTATAGGAAGTGAAATTATTCAGTTAAATGAAATGTTAACAAACCTCTTTGGATTAGCTCTGCATGCAGTACAGTTCAGTACAGCCAAGTAAAATGAGGAAACTCCCCACCATGCCAAGGTAAAGTGGCGGTCCAATTTCTTAGCTGAAGAGATAACCGTTAAAATTGGGCACTGTCTTGCATTTTTCTAAATGTACCTATTTATGAGTGTTATTTAAAACCTCAGATTTGACTGATCTGCTTGCCTGTGTTAAAAAAACTGTTCCCTCCAGTTGTTGTGTCAATCCATTTATGTATAAACCCTAACAAGCCATGTCTGATATACCTGCATAATAACAAGATGACGTAGTGGGTTTAGAAGCGGAGGGTTTGCCACAAAGTTTGTTTTGTAAGTTTGTTGCGTGATTTCCAAAGATAATGAGATTAGTTTTTCTTATTTCAGATATAGTTCAGTTCTCAAAACTAGTTAAAAATTAATTTTTCACTATATCCAAAAGCTGTTTCAAATTCTTACCGCAACAAAATAAGCTGGTGTCATCTGCAAATGAATTAACATTTATTGCATGCATAGGAAATCATAGGAATAGCATAGGAAGAGCAACAGGAGCACTCTAATGACGCACATTTACACAAACAAGTTGACATTTAAGCTAAATCACTTTTAATTTCATTTTTCATGTTAGTAATCAGATTAATCTTTCCAGGATTCTTATATTTTATTATTTTAACTATTATCCTCAGTCGAGACACTTTCTTCCTGCACTAGGCGCGTTTTTGTATTTGTTTCTTTTAACTTTTACTTGCCTACCTCCAGTGGTCCATAGGAAGGGTGCAAGCCGCAAAGCCCCAGCCCGATGTACAGGGCAGCAAGATCTGAGCCAGTCTCCTCCACATTCCTTCAGTTTGGTAAATAGAAGAGTCTTCGCCAGTTAAATACAAATAGTAACTCTGATGTTGCAGCACTTTGAGTTTACTTTAGTTTTGAATGTGTCTGCAATACTGCTTTTATAAAATTCTCTAGCTAATGGTTAGAGCCAATAATGCCAGATGTGAAGGTCTTTAATGCCTTTCTACCTTGTAAAGGAAGTAGCCCTCCAGTAATTAAAAAAAATAAAAGCTGTGGCATTCCAGTCCTTTTACGGCAGCTGCTCGTTTATTTGTTTTGAATAAAAGCAAAACAGACACAATTTACTGTCGACCAGACCCGAATAGCCTGGTGGTGTTTAATTGTTTTGTTTAAAAAGGCCGATCAAAGGCTGGAAGCAGTGTTAGAAATAGAGGGGTACCTCAGCCTCTCATCTAGTGATGAGAGGCTAGTTTTATCACATTAAAGGTGATAAAAATGAATAACAGGTAACAAAAACACAAATCAAGTCATTGAAAAAGTATTTTAAACAAAGATTTCTCACACAAATTTAAATACAAAACACATGTGAATTACTTTTTTGCAACAGATTCTTCAATTGAATAGAAAAGCATCAGGCAACCTGTTAATCACATTCATGATTTTTTTGTCCTTCACATTGACTCGCATTTATTCAAATATAAGAGTTTTTTAAGAACTGTGTAGTCTCACTCCTTGAAATGTATGACAGCGACAACGCTGTCCGGCTGCTGCTGCTGCTGCTGCTGCTGCTGCTGCTGCTGGACTCGGACAAAGTTGATATGCTGGACCTCGACGAGAGGCTGGATCCGGATCCTGACCACGACCCTGCATCCCCAGTGGCTCGCCCCGTCTTCGATGGCCACCCTGACTTGGCTGTGCGTCCTGATTTAAATGTGTGTGCAGATCTTGAGGAAATGTCTGAGTGCCCAGACTTGGACAAAAGTTCAGAGACAGAAGACACTTTGGTCTTGGAGGTGTTCTCTGACACTGTGGACAAAGCTGTGGTGGAGTTGTTTTGCTCGGGGTCTGGCAGTGGCTGGATGTTGATTACCCTGGAGAGAGGGACACATAATGGTCTGGATGCTGATCCCCTTTCTCTTTAAAAGCTAGCAGGAATTCATTTTCTGCTATATGAGCAACTGTGGCCATTGCTGTGGCAGGTAGTTTACAGTGGGTCTTTACAGCTTTGTGGCTGAAAACAACACCTATGAGAGCTGTAAGACAAACGTAAAGTAAAGCCAAAACAATAAGCTGAAAAAGACAATAAAACACTCTGTAGAGCTCAGGGGAACTGAAGAGTTGATCAACTGCTGTGGGTTCTTCACTATGAGTGACCCCTTTCACGTAAAAGTCCTGCAATCTATCAATGCTTGAAAAAACAAATTTTAATGGCAAGTTGTCCGGTGGCCTAGATGTGGTGTAAGGTCAGGTTGTCAATCAAACTAGACATCAGTTATGTATCAGCAGAAGGATAGCTCAAAAATTTAGAGTGTAAAAGTATGCTACAGAAGTGGTCGGCACTGGTATGCTCTTTGCGCTCCTTCTAGTGTTGAAATAGATCCATATCTTGAAGTGGAGTGCACTCCCACCCTTAAACCACGCCATCCTAACAGAGCCTCATACATTTGAGATAATGAGTCACTCCACTCACAGGGCGCTGGTATTTATTGAGGAAGTGGAGAGGGGAGTTATTTATTCACTCTTGACAATTTTCAACAACATCAACATGTGTTTGCACTCACTTGTCCTCTCCTCCACAGAGCGACGTACACACTGACCACAGATAGAAGAAGCCACCAGTCATTTGAAAGAGCGAGCCGACCCAGCCGAGGAACAGAGGGGTGCCAAGGTCATACCTGTTGGTGTAATATTTAAAGATTTATGTTTTATTAAAGTCTTTTGTGCTTAAAGAGGTGAGATATTTATATATAAACCTGCTAACTTACTTCAGTTCATCCAAGTTAGGGCTGAAGTATTCTACTGAGACATGCTGCACATAAACCGCATACCCACATGTGGACAGCAAACCTGAAGAGAAACCATGTTGAGAGACAGGAAAAAATATTATATTTTTGGGATTACTATTAGTGCTTTCTAAACATATTTACATGCATTTGTTTAGAATGTAATTAGTACTACAGACCTTTTATTGATTTTTTTCAGCTAGAACAGTCTTAGAGGTCAAAATATCGTATTGGGTAACTATGTAATATAGCTTTTAATCACAGAAAAAGACATTAACTCTATATCACTGTTTGTTAACATGGGGTTCTGGACCGTCAAAAAGAGGTCACAAGATAAATCTGAGGGGTCACAGAATGATTTGCTTGTGAAAAATAGTTTCACTAGGGTCATGGCATGTTTTATGCTCAGACCCCAATAATAAGTTATTTACAAATGTCTGCATGATACAGCACGTATCAAGCCATACACATCTACCAGTATCTACAGAAAATTCTAACGTATTATTTCAGTGTTGTTCAGACCTGGTTGGAGGATTTTAATTCACAACTGAATAGAAACAGTTTTGTCTAAAATAAATTATTTAATGGTAGTTTAATTGCTACAACCGTTATTTTAATGTCCACACAAGACTGATATTCTACTCTTTACATGCACAGCTTCTAGGTACATCTGCTGACTGTCCCCTTATTAAATCTAGACATTACCGCTGATTATGTGGCACCATCCACCAGTGTAGATCTTCTTGTACTTGGACCGGTCTTTTCCCCCAATGAAGGTGCACTCCATTCCCATCAGGCTGAGCACAAACCCAAGCATGCCCAGGGAAAGAGCTCCCATCAGCAGGCCTCGCACTATCTGGATGGAGCCTGGAGTCACAGAGCAAGTCTAGATGTCATGACTGAACAGTTAAGACACTAGGTTTGTTAGATAGGTTGGAAAATGTGATACCTACCCTCCACAGACCAGAGCACAGGGAAGTCGTGGCAGTTGGTGACAGCAGTTGAGTCTGTAAAACAGGATTTCCACAGGTTGGACCAGTACCAGGCCACCCTGATGATGGCAGTGCCCCCCATACCCCCGATGGAGGCGATCTTCCAGCCCTCCATCGCCAAGGTGCAGGCCACAAAGATCCAACCCAAAACTGTCATCAGGAAACCCCAGATCTGGACTACACGGATCTTCATCTCTGGGCTTCTCGTGAGTTTATCTCCTATCTAAATTTCAGACCTAAAGAAGCTCTTGCAGCAGGTTATTTTCTTCGCTCATCCACGGCCCGATTTTGATGTATTTCTTTTCTTTTTTGTTTCAAGTTCAAACGGCCCTCACTTACTCACGCAGAAGACGTGTAAATCCTGTGCGGAACGTCCACTTTTCATTCAAATTCAAAAAATATGTCTCCTACTCGGCTGGTCTTCTCAGAGAAAGGAGACGACGAGCGCATCATAGTTACAAATCATGGGTGTGCTGCTGCTTTCCAGATATTACTCTACAGGGTGGTGAGAGACAACAGTCGCTCAGGTTCCCATGAGCCACAGTTGAATCTGGACCTAGACTGCTCAACTAAGCATGTATCTCAGATTACCAAAGCAGCTTCATGCCCCCATCTGACTTTCCCCCATGTGCAGATTGTTGTTGTTATTATTATATTTCGCTTTCTTAGTTATTATAACACCCAATATATTAGCCAAAGTTATCAGTTGGGGAAAAAAGGCAAGTGTGAGTGGGATGGGAGCAAGACAAAAAAAGTTGCTTTCTTCTCTAGACCATGGCTAAGCTGAAGCATGGACATAAAGAAAGGACTAGTGCCATCGGTGGAGAGGGTACCTAACAATGGCCTTTTTATATGTGTAAATTCAAAAAACAAATTTGGAATTTAAAACCTCTTAACTTGAAATGGAAAGTTTTATAAATGTGGTAAAGTTGTTTTAACTTGAAACTGTGAGTTAGAATAATGCAGAAATTTGTGTCAGTTAGACTAGTTAAGGGAAGTTTTTCTTGCATTGATAAAGTCAAATAATTATTTGTTTTAACTCAAAGTATGAAGTTGAAACAAGTCAAAGTTCAACTAAAAAAGCAATGATGAGACAACTAGAGCACTGTAGTTATATGAACTTTATGAACTGTGAGGATGAGGGAGAAATTCATAAATTAACGCATAATCACGCTCTTTAGGAAATGTAAACAAAGTTTTTGCAAACTGAAATCAAAACACACACCTCCTGCTATGATATTCCTGGTAGCTGCTATAACCTATGACAGTTAAGAGAGAAGAAAACTGTTTGATATAAAAATATCTTTGGCTTTTAACCTAACAAAAAATAGAAACTGGAAATGTATTTTTTTTTTATTTCACTGGGTCTTTAAAAGGCTCCCTTCAAAGCCACACATCACATGACATTATACAACTGCACAGGGTGAATAGCACTCCTTGTATCAAGTCAACTGAATGTCCTGTGAAAAATTTAAAGAAATAAAAGATAACAATCAGGAACACTTAAAATGAATGATGACTTGCATCCCTCTGTTCACATGTGCATATAACTAATTTCTAATTTGAGCATACTGTATATACAATAGATGTACAGTCAAATCACATTGCTTGAGATTTGACCAACAAAAGTGTAAATTTCTGCATCATTGAGATTTACATGTTCAGTGAAATATGTAATAACACTGCTGCTGTGAGCTCCGCTGCAGCATCATTCTCTACTTTGCCTCAGGCTTTAAGCTGCTCGTTATTAGTAATTTTACCAAGGCCTCACTGTGCTGTGGGTCTCATAATTACAGCATAACGTCTTTGTGCTGTTATAATTAGAGTTAAATCTGAGGTAATGAGAGGTAGGGGAAGTGATGAATGTTCAGCAGGGGATGAAAGAGCTCCTCTTTGTTTCTAAGTCCTCTCGGCTTATGACAAAGTTATTGGTAGTGGTAGGGAGATATTGGAAATGGTTTTGGTGAGGGAAGCTTTAATTAGCATGAGACAAAAATTAACAAAGGAATGCTTATGTGACCTGAGCTGACCTGGCTTTAATGCTGCAATAACAGCCAAGAAAACACAACAAGTTAAAGTCAATGCTTTTTTTTTGTTCACATGGTCTCTTAAGAGTCAAGCTCAAAGGACACTGTTTCAACTATTACATATTGTACAGTTTCCTCAAATATGTCAACCATTAAATGTGAATTATTACTGCTCTCTGGTGGTGAGGTTGCAGTAATGGGTGAAGGGACATGGCTCTGTGCTCTCAATAAGGTCAGTAAGTAACATTAGGTCAGTGATTCTCAGCCTGTTTCTTTTGTGACCCCTTTATACAAAGTTGACACTGTGGACTTCCTGGGCAGCAGGACCAAAACCTCACGCCAAACTGCATTAACAAGGCCCGGGACCCCCGCTGACACCAACTCATGCACGTGGCTGTTCCAGGTGTGTGTTTATGTGTTTAATGGTAGCATCTATTCCTTTCCTTTTAATATGAAAAAAAAGATTATAGAATAATCAAAAACAAACATAACTTTGTGTAGCGTGTTGATCCCAACTTTTCATGCAGCACCACCAACAGCTCAAACACTTCATACAGACATTCACAATTTCCAGTGGAAGAATCCTCAGTCATTTTATTTTATTATTTTTCAAAAGCACTGTGTAGAAACAACAACTCAGTTTGGATATAACTATTGTGAGCTGTAATATCTTTCTGTCAAGAGAATTAAAATGTGTTCGCTAGAAGGAGTTCAATGATTTACGTTTGCTGTTTTAATATCCCTATATGTAACGCAGACATTAGACAGTACAATACTGCTATTATATCAGAGCATTCTGCGGAGCCTGAGACACCTGACACTTGTTTACAGACGCAAGGCACTGGAAAGCACGGCAACTGCTCTATGCCAGCTGGTTCAAGTATCCGACCTCTGGGCCAGGAGGTTTTACGTAACATAGCCTGGGGTTCCTATTGATAATAATTCCTAGGTGGAGATGGATGGCTGATAGGAGGGGAAACCTCCGGTCGGAGGTCAGATCAGTCTAGGCCAAAAAAAAAACCCCAGAAAGGCTTTCACTTGATCCGTTTTTCTGCTTGAGAAATATTAACCGATGCAAGTTTCTGAAGGTATCCTCTGTTTCCATAAAGCAACAGGAGAAGATTAACTGGACTTACCTCATAGCTACTCAGTTTTCAAAATGTAATCTATTTTTATTTTAGTTACTTTAGCAATAATGGAAATGAACTGATTTAAATGATGTTATCTTTGTTGAAAAAAATAGAAAAAATTCATGTTTATAATCACTGAATTTACAAAAACATCTTATATAGCATAAGCTCTAGCTGGAAGCTCACATAAAATGTGTACTTGCTATCTAGTTTTAATGGAAAGAAAAGCTTGAAAAATGCTTTAAAATATATTGCAGATTCTTTTAAATATCAATGTCCAATTGATCTTTGACTCAAGAATTATATAGACATTGTCCTGTGTATGTGAAACAGGCAAGAAAGGCCATGCTTGTTGAAGGTGACCGGAGAGTTTGAACAGTGTTTGTGCCAAATCAAATTTCCTGCCCTAAAAGAAAAGCAAGCTTATCTTTTACCTAAAGGCCATTGACAGAAATGTCCCAAAAAAGCAGCCATATTTAGAAATGAATCTGGCCACTTAAAATCAATAACGTATGTAAACTTGTCACATGAATTACTCTTTCCGGCACTGAGCAGAGAAATTTATTGTAATGAATGCTGTTCTTGGCTTTCACTGGTGAAATTGTTTGGTGACCACAAATGATAAATTCTACAATCAACCCATATAAAAACAAGATAGAATCAAATTTCACACATATGCATTTCTTCCAAACTGCCTCGATGGCTCCCCTGGTTCCTTGTGGAGGCTGTTTACTGTCTTGCTGTGCTTGTTGCGTGGTGTCACAAATGATGCAGCTCTATTGTAGGAGTATTCAGCTCTGCAAAAATAGAAACAAGAAATTACACCCTAATTAAAAGCGTACTGTAGGGTATGTTTTGATCTCCATTTCTGGCAAGCACCTTGAAGTAGAACAAGAACTGGGGAGATGCATAATAAGGGCTGTAATGATAAATGTTGAGAGAGCCTCTAAGTGGTTCTAGTTAACTTGTTTTATTTCTCTCAAAGTAAATTGAATGAGTGCATATTTAAGGATTTTGGTGGACAACAGGACAATTATACAATCCCTGGATATGACAAAGAGGTCAACAATCATATTTCTGTAGCACCAAATGTTAGCTTTCTTGCTGTATCCCCTATATAACAAGTTTACAGACGGGGTCTGTAAGGCCCAGCTAAATGCTAACATCAGCATGCTAACATCAGCACGCTAACGTGCTCACAATGACAACGCTAACATGCTGATGGTATAGTGTTTTCCATGTTCACTATCTTAGTTTAGCTTAATTAGCATGCTAACACGCTAGTTTAGATTTAAATACAAGTACAGCTGAGGCTGAATGTCATTAATTTAGCAAATATTTAATCACATTGGACGCATTTAAAATTGACCTAATGATGGTGCTAGATGAAAAGGGATCACCATTACAATTCATCACATGAGCATCATGTGAAAATTTAAACCACTCTTATCTAAAAAATCTAATTCAGCCAGGACCAAAGTGGTGGACTTACTAACCGACCAACATTACCATCCCTAGAGCAACACAACAGATGTGTTGATCCCCATTTTAGGGACTTATGTAGAACAAAGAATTGAGGTGATTAAAAGTAAAGCTGCCATAAAGTTAGCCATCAAATCTCTGAAACATGTATCCTTACTGGCCTTCACTGGACCAAATCCTGCAGAATATTGCTCTATATGTTTCCTCCTTTCTGCTCCTCATATACGTCTTACTTTACCCAAAGTATATGGATATGCTAAACAGGACTGACCGTTCACAAATTGATGACTAAGGATATCACCAAAAGAGAAGGTTTTGTTGATGTGCAACTGAACACTTCCCTATAGGTGCCCTCAGTCAAGGTGACTTTCACTACGAAAAGGTCTTAATTACTCGACTTTGACAAAGGAAACATTCAGCCATCAACGGCCGCATAACTAATCAAGATGATGATCATACAGTTTGCCTTGTAGGTTCAGCAATTATGAGACAAGATGTTGAGAGAAATTACTGAATGTTTTCGACTGTAACCGACCCTCCACTGCAAAAGTAATTATTTAAATTGCCAGATTGAGTTAGCAAGTCAGTGCAGTATAGAATCCGTCCAAATCAGATTTCCTCTAAGCCCTTGTCGCTGATGACAGATGTGGGATCACATTGTTAGTGTCCAGCATGTCAGAAAAATCAAGCAACTTGCCTGATACTGAAGCCTTCAGACAGGGAGAAACAGAAGATAAGTCCTCCGAGCGTACACAGCACAGATCCAGCCCAACCAATGAACAGAGCTGCTCCCAGCTCAAACCTGAAGGGATAAAGTGGGGGAAAAAAAGAAAGAATGTTTGATTGGATGTCTTTCATCCGAATGTGGTTTTGATCTGCTGTTCTTTTAATCCTAAATACTTACTTCTGGGCAACAAAGAGGGGGTCAAAGAAGTCAGTTGTGATCCTGTGAGCATATATGGAGCATGCAGTCATGCAGCTGAGGCCTGTGGAGAGAAATAAGAGGATTTCTGAAGTCAAAGCAGAACAAGCTGATAATGTAATTCAGTTGAACACTAATTCATTCCAAAAGATCTTCCCAAAATGCAGCTCAAATGCTACATTCTCCATAAATACAGACATAGAGAGGGGTAAGCAGCATGGCATACCGCTGAGAATGAAGTGGAAGCCCGAAAGGACGGTCAGACGGGCCTTGGTGGTCTCAGAGCCTCCTATTTTCGTGCACTTCATTCCTACCAAAGCGAGGATTGCGCCAAAGAAACCCAGACATACAGCGGCAATCATCAGACCCCGACACACCTGGATATAAGCTTCAAGGGAGTGACAGTGAAGAGGGTGTTAAATGTGTGGTTCCTGATCTTTTTGTCTTGTGACCCCCTAAAAATAGAGCAATGTCTACTTGTTTATGGCCTTAATGTGGTCATGGGTTGTGAGATGTGATTTTTTTGTTAATGGCGATTTATTTATGAACATTTTAAGGCCCAAAGATGTATCCAGAATAATTTTAATTATCAATATCCACTTATTTTAACAAATTTAGAGGCCTTAAGGCGTGAAAGGATATGGTATTACTTAATTTAAAGAAAAAGATGCTTATTCACTTCTTGCAGAGAGTGGGATGAGTAAATTGATTTCACTCTCATGTTTGTACATTAAATGTGAAGCTATAGCCAGAAGCTAGTTGTCTTAGCTCAGCATAAAGACTGGAAACAGAGGGAAACAGCTAACCTGTTCAATAATTAACACATAAATTTATCTTTTTTGTTTAATCCGTTCCAAAGTCACAAAATAAACTAGGCTAAATAAGTGAAATTATTCCTTTAAATATTTTTAGAAGCCTTAGGGGGGTGAAAGAATACAGTAGTTCACTTAGTCAAACCATTTTTAGAGGCTGGACGAGGTTAGTGGCTACAATATTATATATAAACTGGATCATATGACTACTTGTCTGTAAAAAAGTTGTTGTGGTGACAAACCCACAGGGAATTATCACCTGACTAGTTCCCCTCAGCTCTAAGGAGCTTTAAAGCGTCTTTTGAGTTGTTGTTTTGGTCTTTAGACGTGCAACTTGACTGGATTGGTTCACTTCTCTGCTCCCATTGTGCCATTTTCAGAGGCAGGAGGCAGCAGTTTTTAGCGTCAAAGCATCAAAAAACCCACAGTACTAGCAACAAACAACACAATCACAGTTAACAAGTAGTGGGTTAACAAAATGGAGGGCTTAAGAGAGCTTAAAATTATTATATTGCATGTTTATTTTAGTTATTTCACTTATTTAATAGAGGCTAAATGTTGAAATAATCTAGTATTTCACAAGAAAAAATCTAAATTTATTAATTAGGTTTTGTTATTCATCCCTTTAACAATCTGTGACCCCTCGGATTTATCTTGGGAGCTTTTGGAAATCACTGCCTTAGACTAAAGACAAGGAGGAAAGGACAGGAGTTTAAAAGGTGTTTAAATGTGTGCTGGAGAGCGCAACACCTATAAATACATTTTCTTTTCTCAACAGCAAGTGTCAACAGATCTTGACACTGCATGAAAATCTACTAGCAATGCTTTTCCTTATTGTTGCTAGAAAGCAATGGAAAGTGACAAGTGACCTTTGCATGACTGTATGCCTTTCTCAGATTGCTTCATTCGAACCCATTAGGAAGTTGTGTCATTCCAGCTCAGCTCATTCACTGAAATATGCCTCTTGTGGCCTTTAACTTTAAATGTTGTGGTTGTTTTTGGCCTGAAGAGTCCAAAACAGGAAATATCAAGTTCCAAATGCATTTGTATACAAAGGTGGTCATTCATCCAAAACAACAGGTAAAGATTTTGGGCATCTGCGCTTCGGTCAGATGAATAGCTCCCAATGCACAGTTCCTCAGAACACGATAGATATGTTTCTGTCTCTGCTCTCTGAACTCAGAAAGACAACATCAGACCCTGCTACAGCAACAACAACCCCAGTCGTCTCAGAACTCACCATCCAGAGCCAACATTGAAGGAAAGTCCTTGCAGTTGGACACACCGGTGGAATCAGTCACACATGTTTTCCATAGGTTGGACCAGAAGGTAGCTGTGGTGATGACTGTCCCGTCCACAGAGGACACCTTCCAGTAGTCTGTAGGCAGGGTGGACGATACCAGGATCCACCCGGAGATGGTCAGGAGAAAGGCAACAATCTCTGTTGCCATGTTGCCCATTTTTCCTGTGGCTTGGAGGTCCGGAGTGGGGACAGGAAAGAGATCTTTCCCTCAACGGTGGGAGGGTCGGTCCAGGACAGGTGCGTCAGCTAGAATTTTGCTTCTCATTCACCTGCACAGTCAAGCATCTACGCCTTGGAACCAATACTTTTAAGTGCATCGCTGACACACAATCAGTGGTTGTATGTTGTGTTTATGCGGTGTGGGGGGAGGGTGCGGGGGTGCACACAGTAGTCATCACTCCACACAGAGTGCATAGGGTCTGCAAGGGGATCTGCAGGAGGAGGAAGTCTTTAATTGAAAGGATCTGAAAAGTCTTTGACAGAGAAGGAGCACAAGATGAGGAACAGAGATAGGAAATATGCGTATGGTGGACTGAATGAATGAAGGAATTATGTGTCTTTGTGTTCATTTTTTATACGGTTTGGATTTGCGGCACCTTATCAAAATGCTGCACCATAATTTAGCAAACCAGTACTTCAAGTCCTCATAGCAGCAGCACTAAATACAGGCAGGGAATATAATTCTCTTCAGGTTTTAAAGCATTGTAGCTCCATCAAGTGGCAGAAAGGAGAGAATGTTTGCAGCTATCTGAAGTACATTTCCTCTGTAGGTCAGTCCACCACATTGGTCTGGACTGAAATATCTCAAATATAGATTGCCATGAAATTTTGTAATTATGCATTATGCCAATTCACCCAACACCATCATCGGTTCAACATTTTAATTTGTCCAATACTTATAAAGGGCCTGTAGCTAATGGTAGCTAATATTAGCAAACCTTTGATGGATATTGCTGTGTAGCTGACATTTATTTTGCTGTTTGTTTTACCACTTGATACTGTACAGTAATTGTCACTTGTCACCACAGTCTAGCTAACTGTTACAGCTACCTCAGGTTACTGTAGGTGTAGTTGGCCCATTGTAACTGGTAGTTCATTGGTTATGTGTTGGAAGATGTATTCAAAATGTGTACTTCAGTAAAAATAGCAATACCACGCCTTAAAAATTCTCCATTAGTTTCAAACTTGTATTTAAGTAAAAGCACAGAAGTATACTCAAAAGTAAAAGCACTCACTTGTGATTAAGTTTACGTTGTTTGACTGTTCGTGTACGCCAACATTATTTAATTAAATACTGTAATTGTCATTAACAATAAGATGATCAGAAACAAACCAGATAAGCCAAAGCAAAAATAAAAGGCTGGGTCTCTGTATGATAAGACAAGATTTAGTGGAGAGATGAGCTAATTACAGACTGGCTTCTTGTGTGTCTTGTCTCACGATGGCCGCCAAGCAACCATTACAGTATAATAATAGGACAGAGCTTTGAGCAATTAGTTTTAAGTGGGGAGAAGGGCGTCAGAGGAAGCGTGATGGAGAGAAAGGGCAAAGAGTGACAGGAAGGTAAGTCAGAGGAAAAACGTAACGGTAAAAGAAAGACATGTTGTCAAATGTGAAAACATATAATGAATCCTCCGAACAGAATGAGGCCGCAAGCCACGTACTAATTCATTAAATTCCTGATATTTTTCAAACAAGGATTAGATTTAATCTCTCTTTGTAGAGAAAGAGGGATTGTTTCCAGGACAAATAATTACCCGAAACATATCCAGACCCTAGCTGTACAGTAGCTGCCCCCACTGACCTGATTGTGGGGTCATACAATGGGCACAGGTAAGGTTCAGTGTTCACAGCATCCCAGGAAAACTAAACCTAGGTGTTTTACTGTCAGTTAACAACAGTGAAAAGCTGCTGAGATCAGTGTTACCTAAATCTCTAGATAGATGAAGCCTTGATGGTGTGTTTCCATGGCCTCTGTTACTGAGCAATCTCTGAGGTCCTAATCCTGTAAACTCGCTAATGAAAGAGGAGTTATCTGTGTGAACCTGTTGATGACATCCCGTTAATACTATGGATGTGAGAAGATGATTATCTTAAGCTCTTGAGTTAAAGCGGGGCATAAGCAGGTATCGTTCTTGATAACTTTTTAAACTAACTTGTAGTGCAAATGATATCCTCAAACTCAGTCTAGCAGGAGGAAAGTGATCATTGATGAATGTTTAAAAAAGCAGATTTTTTCCTCTTCGCAGCTGCCGTAGCTGCACTGTATGATGCATTTGAATTCAAGGTGTCAAAATCTTAACAGCGTTCAAGTCTCATTTGGAATAAAAATCTCTTTTCTGAGAGTACCAAGATCGGCAGCGACAACAAACAACAAACACAAGACAGATAAAACAAACTATTCCACAAACAAACCGACAGAATGAAAAAGAAATGTGATTATAAAGTTATAACTAAAGTTTTCATTACAAGCATATGCAAGTATATACAAATAAAAAATTAATAAATATAGTATATACAAATAAATTAGCCCAATCTACAACAATAACATAATGAGACAACACATGAGAAAAGTCCACCACTTTGGTCCAGACTGAAATATCTCAGCAATTACTGGATGGATAGATTTTCAATCATTTGTTTTGTGCCCAAATACCAACAAACTAATGACATTCCCTTCAGCCTCAGCTGTACTTCATGTTAATTAGCAAATGTTGCAAAAGCAGTGTAACGTGCTAAAAATTGATGTTAAACGTGTTAAATATTAAACATCAGCATGTTAGCATTGTCATGGTGAGCATGTTGTTCTGTACACTGCATGAGATAACATCAGTTAGTAATTAGCTTAAGAACATTGTGCCTAAATGCCACCTGAGTGAGCTGCTTGCATGGCTATAAATGATGTTTGTTCCATGTATTCACTAGGCGATATGACAAGGGATGACATCCCCCGTGTTAGCAAAATGACCTAATTGACCTGCCTTCCCCCCTCTCTATCCCCTAGAAGCAGAGAGAGTGAAGGAGCAGAGAGGTTGTTTAGTTGAATAATAAGACTAGTCTACCTGACTCATTGATCCTTTATCTGACTGAGGTTTGTGCAAGTTAGAAGATACGGCCCTGACCACGGCTCTGACATATCAGCAGCCTAACTGTGCTGTGTATTGATAAATCCACGGCTCTGTGTGTGGTGCTGAAATAGCAGGCAGATTTATAATGGCAGTCTTTTCTCTTCTTGTCTTTCATAATATTCTTTAAAGTACATACTATTAATACTCAATTATATACTAAATTGTAATCAATATACTTATTGGAACAGTGTCACCAAAGGGAAAGTAGCAACATGTACTATGTTTGTGCTTAAATCATTACTTATATTTGCAGTAGCTTTGGTTAAGTTTACATTTTTGCTACTACCACTTGGAGTGGCAGAAGCTGGACATTTATCTATTACGCTAACTAGTTAGTCATTTCAGTTGCATCATGTGGTGTTAAAGCAAGATTATGTAACTTTCATTTCTGGGGGAGGATCACTGTATAAGTCTATGATTTCTTGATCTCTCCTGTCACCTTTGTTTACATCTTTTGTGCTGTTTGTAAAAGTAAAAATAAAATATGCTCTTGTCATGTTGTATTTTTTGATATTTCCATGCTGTTATGCATGTACCGTTCCCGATGAAGACTGTTGAATTTAATTGACAGCACCTTGTTAACTGCTGCATAAACCTTGTAAACTGTAATTAAAATGAAACAAATTGAGCACTTCTTCCTCTGTGCTCACTGAAGGGAGAATATGTGAGTGGAAAATAGGCCCATCCCACGGCTGGGATAGCATGGGAAAGGAGTGTTGATCCCATGCAGATGAATGTTATTGGGCTGAGTTCAGCTGCTTGTAATAATCTCCAGCTGGCTTTTTTCCTTCAGCCCTTTTCCCAGTCGGTGCTAGCTAAACATCAACAGGAGGATAACGTGCAAGGTGCGAGTGCCAGGGCCACTTCAGTCTGTTATCATTAGCTTGTCAGTGTCAGGATAATAGTTTACCTTGGTTACATGTGACTGGATTTCTTTTAAGGTGTATTTGAACATTGAAATCGGATGAGGGTAGAGGGAGATTTTTTTCTCTGTACTCTCTTCCAGGATGTTTGTTTTAGCTCAGGAAACACCTGCAGAGTGTCAGAGGGCATCTCTCATCTACAGCCTTATGCTCTTTATTTATAGGATATCCTCTCTGTGACTGCATCACGTGTCTCTGTGTGTTTGCGCAAGGGACCAAAAAGGCAGCGAGAAACAAAAATTAGCCTAACTCTTCCAAATTGCTTAAATTAGGATTGGCACACTCCAGTCCCCCTTATCAAGACAGACCATGAGATAGTCAGCATGACTATGCAAGCTCAGAACACGTGTATGTGTGTGAAATAAAGAGATGAGGTACTAGAGTAGTTATGATTAAACGTATATATCTGATAGTGAACCTGTGTTAATTTATGTTTTTTTTTAAACTCTTGCTTCCTTACAGTGTTTTTGGGTTTTGCTGTCACACTTGAAGTAGACTTGTGGAAATCATTTATTTCTATATTTTCACAACTCTTTCAGGTTATTTTGTAAATTGTGTTTGTATATTTTGAGGCATAATTCGTACAATAAATCCAAGGTTACGATTGGCTCCTTTCCCCTCCTTTTTTTTAAGAATCAAGGTAAATATGCCTCAAATTAGTTTATACTGCTGAAAACATATGGATTTATAAGCTTGAGCTGCCAATATTACCAGCCAATGGCAGAGCAGAACCCTGTGGCGACAACTATTTTCAGCCAATCAGGAGTCTGCGGGGCGGAGCCGTTCAATGTGCCTTTTTTAATCGCTTTCTTGTCGCAGCACACCTTATTGCCGACCTCAGTCTGGCGTGTGTGGTTCAGAGGTTACGGCATATAACCCGGAGTAGAAGATTTCGTAGAAGGGGAGAAAGTTGAAAGGGAACCGTGTGAGTGTGCGGACTACTATGGAAAAAGCCAGTAAAAATGGCAAAACCAACCCGTCAGCGACGGCGAACCTTTTGTCCAAGGTATTTTTCTGGTAAGTAAAAGAGTCAGTTGACAACTAGACGTCCCCGGATGGAAAACGACGTTAGCAAACTTTACCGTTAGCGGGGGATTTAAAATGGTTTTGTTCATACTTAAAATGTGTTTCATTTTACTCCACGGTGACACGAGCAGACCGAGGTTGCTGAGTGTAAACCTAAAGCAGCTAAAAACAAGAAGAAGTGTTGCTTTTAAGCGTTGAATAACATGTGACTCGAGTTTGCCCATTATTTAGCAGTTGGTTGATAACAGCAGTTTCATTTCATGTTGAAGTCAGACCCCTCTTAACCAATAAGTTACTCACATCATCCTCTGCATGTTTATGCTGGTAGTTTCCTGTTGAATCATTTGGTTTGATTGGTCAAGTCCAAAGTGAAACTTGCACATGTGCGTG